TTCTTCTAAAGTAGGGAAGAGGAAGGAAGGAAAGGAGGAAAGACAGTGATTTAAATAACTTAAGAAGGCCAGTAAAGGAAGAGTTAATGTAAAAGAGAACAAAGGAAATAATAAAACTAAGGGCAGAAATTAATCAAATGGATAAATCTCTGGTTCTGCTAATTAAGGAAAAAGAAAAAGACTCAAAATATTAGGAATAAAAAGTGATGTAATTATAGAAATTATAGAATTATAGAAAGCGGTTTTAAATCATTGGTATAAACGTGTATCAATAAATCTGAAAAGATAAAAGAAAATGAATAATTTTAAAGGAATAACAAAATTTACTTAAAAAGAAATGGAACACTTGCATAAATGTTCAAGAATTATAATAAGATGACATTAACTAGACTTACTGAGGAGATCATTTCACAGTATATACACATCAGTATGTTATATGCAATCATTGTTACACACCTGCACCTAATACAATGTTATATGTCAATTATACTTCACTTAAGAAAAAATAATCAGCAATTATAAGTCTTCTAGATCCAAATTGGTTTTAGGAGTAAGCTTTGAAGAATCTTTGTATCTGTATCTGTAACTTTGTAACTGTATCATTATATTTATTTACTTATATTTTAAGACTTTATTTATTTGACAGACAGTCACAAGTAGGCAGAGAGGCAGGCAGAGGGAGAGGGGGAAGCAGGCTCCCTGCTGAGCAGAGGGCCCGATGTGATGTGGGGCTTGATCCCAGGACCCCGAGATCATGACCTGAGCCGAAGGCAGAGGCTTTTTAACCCACTGAGCCACGCAGGCACCCCTGTATCATTATATTTTGTTTTTTGTTTTTGTAGCTAGGATGCAGTTGAATCTTTCTTTTTATCCATTCTGACAGTGTCTGCTTTTTAATTGGGCTATTTAGTATTTAGACCATTTACATTTTGTGATTATTGATAACGTTTGATTTTAAATCTCCTGTCTTGCTGTTTTCTAATTGTCCCATCTGTGTTGTTCCCCTTTTTTCCTCTTGAATTGGTTGAGTATTTTTTTAATTCCCTTTATATCTTTTGTTGGCTTTATTAGCTATAACTCTTTATTGAGTTATAATAGTGGTTGCTGTAGAGTTTATAATTACATCTTTTTTAAAAAAGATTTTATTTATTTATTTATTTGTTAGAGAGAGAGAGAGAGAGCATGAGTGAACACAAGCAGGGGGAGTGGCAGGCAGAGAAGAAGCAGGCTCCCCACAGAGCAAGTGGCCCAATGTGGGACTCAATCCCAGGATCCTGGGATCATGACCAGAGCAAACACTTAACCGACTGTATAATATACATCTTTAAAGTGCAGTAGTCTGCCCTTAAGTAGTACTATATTACTATACTGCTACATGTACAATGTAAGAATCTTATGAAAATATATTTCTAGTTTTCTTCTCCCAGTCTGTGAGCTATTTTGTTGTACATTTTACTTCTACACTCTATAAACCCAACAGTACTTTGTGGCTTTGTTGGTTTGTTTGCTTTACACAGTCCATTATCTTTTAAAGAGATTTAAATAATAAGAATGATAATGTGTTTGCTCATGTAGTTATCATTTTGGGTGCTCTTCTTCCTTTTGTGTAGGTCCACGTTTTCATTTGGTATTTTCCTTTTGCCTGGAGGTGTTCCTTTATCATTTCTTGTAGTTGAAGTCTGCTGTGATAGATTCTTTCAGCTTTTAAGTTTTCAAAAAAACCTGTTTTTACCTCTGTCTTTGATACTTTCATTAGATGAATGATTCTAGGTTGATAGTTGTTATTTTGCTTCAAGTTTACCTTGGGTAAAAAAATTCTCTAGATTGATAGCTTTTAAATTTTAATACTTTAATGTAATACTTTAAAGTACTTTACTGTCTTCTTCTTTGCATTGTTTCAGATGAGACATCTGCTATTTTGTTTAGCTTTGTCTCTCTGAATGAATTTATCCTTTGTTCTCTGACTACTTTTAGGATTTTCTCTTTATCACTGTTGTTAAGCTATTTGATTAAGATGATCCTTGGTTTTCTTCATGTTACTTGTGCTTGGGGTTTTCTCATCTTCTTAGATCTATGGGTATATAGTTCTCATTAAGTTTGGAAACATTGGCCAGTTTTCTACAAAATATTTTTCTTGTCCCTACCCCCACTTTAGGGATTCTAATTACAGTATGTTCAGTCTCTTAAATCCCACAGCTCACTGATGCACTTGAGTTTTTTTCTATTTGTCTTTTTTTTCTCTATTTCCTTTTGGATAGTTTTCATTGCTGTCTTCGAATTCACTAATCTTCTCCTGCAAATAGTAATCTGCTTTTAATCCCATTCAAGATAATACTTTTGTTTTCTTTTTTTTTTTTTCAAAGATTTTATTTATTTGACAGAGAGAGAGATCACAAATAGGCAGAGAGGCAGGCAGAGAGAGAGGGGGAAGCAGGCTCACTGCTGAGCAGAGAGCCCAGGACCCTGGGATCATGACCCGAGCCAAAGGCAGAGGCTTTAACCCACTGAGCCACTCAGGTACCCCTATTTATGTTTTCTATGTCTTTATTTAACATAATTGATCTAGTTTATTGAACATATAAAAACAGTTCTAATAACCAATTTAGACTCTTTGTCTATTAATTCTATCATCTTTGTCAGTTCTGGTTCACTTTCAGTTGACTAGTTTTTCTTTTTAGGTTATATTTTCCTGCTTCTTTGTACGCCTGGTAATTTTTGATGAAGTACCAGACATTATGAATTTTAGCTTTTTTTTTTTTTGATGTCACATATTTTTGTATTCCTGAAATTTGTTCTGCAGTCACAATTGACCTTTGTTGAGAATTGCTGCTAAATGATGCCCTGTGAATTAGGAAGTTTTCCACGTGGCATTTGAAAACAGGCACAATTCTAGGCCCCAAGTAAGCAAGCCTCAGGTGCAGTTCCTTCTAAATCTTTTTGGTTGACCACCATCCCTGCACATGTGCACTTTAAGTAGTTTTCCTCATGTGTTTATTCATTATCACTCCACTGAATAGTCAGGATGACTGCACTGTGAACTCTAGTTGTTTTCATTTTTCCAGTATCCCATCTTTGTCCTTTCAGCTCAGAGAGGGCTCTTTACCTGTGTTTGGTGGGACCTGAAGCAGTAGGCTCTGGCAGTCGTAGAGCTCACCTCATTTGTTGCCCATCTCCCAGAAGTCTCTGTTCCTAAATAACCAATGTCCAGTGTTTTGAGAGTCGTTGCTTCCTGTATTTTGTTCTGTTTTGTAGCTGTGTCAGGCAGAAGGGCACAACTGGTTTCTGTTACTCTGTATTGGCCAGAAGAGGACATTTAGTTTTCTTTTGTAAAGCTTTAAATTCTTTGAAAAGTGTCATGACTAATCTCTCCTAATTTATCTATTAACTATTTGAGGTTTTCTATGTGAATTTTCTTAAAGGATAGTGTACATAAAACATTAAGTGGCTCTGAGTAGAATAAGCTTTTTGATACAGTCTGAAACATATAACCTAACTTGCTCCAAAAGTTACTTTGTAAGTAATTTTAGCAAATACCAAGCTATTTGTTTACCCATGTACTTTTTCTTAAAAGCTCTTTCTTCTTCATAATCTTATTATGAGACTAGTTATTAAAGATGAGCTCTTAACCTGATGCCTGGTACCTAACAGTTTTCAAATACAGTTGACCCTGAACAACCCAGGTTTGAACTACATGGGTCCACTTACACATGGATTTTTTCCAAAAATGCAGTACTGTAAGTGTATTTTCTGTTCCTTATGATTTTCTTAATAACATTTTCTCTAGCTTTATTGTAAGAATACAGTATTTAATACATAAAGTATACAAAAGTTGTGTTAGTCAACTGTTCACATTACTGGTAAGGCTTCCAGTCAACAGTAGGTTATTAGTAGGTAAATTTGGGGAGTCAAATATTATATGCAGATTTTCAACTGTGTGGCAGTACAGGGAGTCAGGGGTCAGTTCCTGTAAACCCCACACTGTTGAAATGTCAGCTGTATAAAGGATGTATAAACACAGAAGTTAAATAACTTGATTAAAGTAAGCAATAAGCTGTTGAAGAAAGATTTGAACTGTATGGTGTCTGTTTCCAACACAAAGTTATGTTAAAGTGAAATGTCTAACTATCATATGATCTCCCTGATATGAGGAAGTGTAGATACAATGTGGGGGGCTTGGGGGTTAGGAAAAGAATAAATAAAACAAGATGGGATCAGGAGGGAGACAAACCATCAGAGACTCTTAATCTCACAAAACAAACTGAGGGTTGCTGGGGGAAGGGGGCTTGGGAGAGGATCGTGGGGTTATGGACATTGGGGAGGGTATGTGCTATGGTGAGTGCTGTGAAGTGTGTAAACCTGGCAATTCACAGACCTGTACCCCTGGGGCTAAAAATAGATTATATGTTTATTAAAAAAATTTAAAAATTTTAAAAAAAAGTGAAATGTCTAAGCTGTCCAAATCTAAATCTGTCACCAAGTGAATTCTCTGTCATTAGTGTTGCCTATGTGTAGCCTGTGTAACCTAGGATGTTGTTGAGAAGATACAGGCACAGAATAGCAGTTGGGCAAGATGATGTTTATGAAAATATCTTTCATTTCTGACAGTGAGATTCTGAGTAATGTCAGTGTTAAACGGAATTTATGTGAATGAAAATAATGGATTTTAAGGTAAAGGAGTTCCAAACTGAGGACATAACATTTATTATATTAGGTAACAAGAAGAAAGCAAGCAAAATGTGACTTTGTTATTAAGTAAGAAGAGTATTCTACTAAGATTATATTTTATAAAATGCCAGAAGTATTCTACATTATAAATAAACTTCTTCTATGGTCCACATAACTCATGTTACTGTGGTTTTGAAAAATTACCTATTATGAATTTTAAGGTTGATAATACTTTTAATTCTTACATCAAACTATTAGAAAACTTAAAATTCTGCTTTTAATGCTCTCTTAGAAAAGCATATTCTTTATAATGTCACCTCAATTTTTTTTTGCAGGCAGAAACAACAAATTACACACCTACATGAGAGGATAAGGGATAATGAATTATGGGCACAACATGCCATGTTGGGACATTATGTAAACTGCGAAGATTCTTATGTGGCTGGTTTGCAGGTATGATATAGAGAATTTTGTAGTTGTTGTTTTATTAGTATAGCATGTGTTAATTATATAATTAGCTTGTAAGATAAGAATCCTTTTTAATTAATCCATTCACATGGTTCAAATTTATATACATAATAAAACATGTCCAAGAACTGTTTTCCAAATGTCCAATTTATAATCCCTCCCCACACACATAAGGAATTACTGTTACCAGTTTCTAATATATCTTTCCATTATTAATGTATGTTATTAGCAGATATAAATGTATTTTTTCCCTATCTTCACAAAAAGAATCAAGATATATACATTATTCAGTGCCTTGCTTTTTCCCTTTAGATTACATAAAATTATTTAAAATACAGTGATTAAAAAGGCAAAAATAGACTCATAAATACAGAGAACAAACTGATGGTTGCCCAGGGGAATGGGCAGAATGGGTGAAGGGGAGTGGAGGTACAGGCTTCCTGTTACACGGAGTGAATAAGTCATGGGAGATAAAAGCTACAGGGTAGGGAATCTAGTCAGTGGTATTGTAATAGTGTTGTATGATGACCGATGGCAGCTACACATGTGAGCACAGTATAACATACAGACTTGTTGAGTCACAGTTTTGTACACCTGAAACTAATGTAGTGTGAGTCAACTATAATTCAGTTAAACAAATACAGTGATTATATCTATATCTTTACAAAGATAACATCCCTTTCTTTTCTTTTATAGCTGATTGATTTCCTGTTGTGTGGAGATAGCATAATTTATTCATCTTATCCCTACTAGTCAGAATTTAGGTTGTTTCTAATTTGGGGCTACTGTAAATAATGTGAAGAATAACCTTTTGTGAATACTGTTTTGCTCATATGCAAGTATTTTTGTAAGTTAAATTCTCAAGTGAAATTTATAGGTGTTGTATGAGTTGGTCATTTTTATTGATATTATCAAATTGCTACTGTGTTATCAAACTATGAGATGTTTACCCTTCTCTTATGTAAGGTAAGGTAGGGAGTTCTTGCCATGGTTTTTTAAAAAATTTAAAATTGTGTAAGATACATATAAAATCTACCATCTTAACCATTTTTCCCCATCTTAACCATTTTTAAATATATAGTTAAGGGGTGTCAGATGCATTTACAATATTGTGCAACCATCAGCACCATCCATTTTCCATACCTCTTTATGTCTTATAAAACTAAAACTTTGTACCCATTAAACAATAACTCCCCGCTCACCTCCCCAACCCCTGGCAATACTGTTCTACTTTCATTCTCCATGATTTTGATTACTCTAAAATCTCATGTTAAATAAATCATATAGTATTTGTCTTTTTGTGACTGGCTTTTTTCACTTAACATAGTTTCCTCAAGATTCATCCGTGCCATAGTGTGTCAGAACTTTCTTCCTTTTTAAGGCTGAATAATATTCCATTATAGCCACGTTTTGTTTTATTCATTCCTCTCTTGACAGGCACTTTGTTTACATCCACATTTTTTAAAGATTTTTTTATTTATTTGAGAGAGACCATGAGCATAAGCAGGGGGGAGGGCCGAGGGAAAGGGAAGAGCAGACTCCCCTCTGACTGGGAAGCCCAGTGCAGGGACCGATCCCAGGACCCCAAGATCATGATCTGAACCAAGGCAGATGCCTGACTGACTGAGCCACCCAGGTGCCCCTGTTTGCTTCTACATATTAGCTGTAGTGAATAACGCTGTTGTGGACATTTTTAATATTTATTTGAATATGGGTATATAAATATCTCTTGCAGACCCTGCTTTCAATTTTTTGGAGTATATATCAAAAAGTGGAATTGCTGGATCATATAGTAATTCTATTTTTAATTTTTTGAGGAAGCACCTTACTGTTTTCCATAGTGACTGTACCATTTTGGATTTCCACCAATAGTGTACAAGGGTTCTAGTTTCTCCACATTGTCACCAATACTTGTTACTTTTTGATTTTTGATAGTAGCCATCCCAGTGGGTATGAGGTGGCATTTCATTGTAGTTTTGGTTTGCATTTTCTTAATGATTAATGATATGAGCATCTTTTTATGGCTTATTGGCTATTTGTGTAACTTCTTAAAGAAAATATCTTTTCAAGTTTTTTGCCCATTTTTGAATTGGTTGCTTGTTTTTTGTTGTTGAGTTTTAAAAATTCTCTCTATATTCTAGATAGTAACCCTTTATTAAATATATAATTTGCAAGTATTTTTTCCCATTCTATTGATTGTTTTCTCTGTTGGGTAGTGTCTTTTCATGCACAAAATTTTTAATGTTTCAAGTCCAGTTTGTTTACTTTTTCTTTTATTGCCTGTGCCTTTGGTGTCATATCCAAGAACTCATTGACAAATTCAATGTCTTGAAGCTTTTGCCACATGTTTCCTTCGAGGAGTTTTATAGTTTTAGGTCTTAGGTTTAGGTCTTTGATCTGTTTTCAGTGAATTTTTCTATTTGTTATTAGGTAAGGGTTCAGCTTCGTTCTTCTACATGTGGATAATCCTGTTTTCCCAGCAGCATTTGTGGAAAAGATTTCCACATTGAATGGTCTTGGAACCTTGTTAAAAATCATTTGACCAGGTATGCCAGGATTTATTTCTGGACTCTGGATTCCATTCCATTGATTTATATGTGTCTTTTGTTATTCAGTACCACACTGTTTTGAAATCCAGAAGTGTGAGTTCCCCAGTTTTGTTTTCTTTTTTAAGATTGTTTAAGCTGTTTGTGGTCCATTGAGATTCTATATGAATTTTATGGTGTTTTTCTCTTTCTTAAAAATAAGTGTGATTTTGATAGGGATTGCAGTAGATAATTTTGACTAATATTAACATCTTAACAATATTAAGAACATGGGATGTTTTTCCATTTATTTATGTCTTCATTTTCTTTTAGCAGTATTTTGTAATTTTTATTATACACATCTTTTATCTCCTTGGTTAATTCCTAAGTATTTTATTCTTTTTGATACTTTTGTAAATAGGATTGTTTTCATAATTTCTTTTCCAGAGTGTTCATTGTTAGTACATAGACATGCAACAAATTTTTGTCTGTTGACTTTGTATCCTAATACTTCATTGAATTTATTCAATAGCTCTAACAGGCTTTTTGTGGAATTTTTGGGATTTTCTACATAGAGGATTGTATCACCTGAACAGAGATGATTTCATGTCTTCCTTTCCAATTTAGATGTCTTGTATTTCTTTTCTTTGCCTAATTGCTCTGGCTATAACTTCCAGTATTTTGTTGAATAGTAGTGGTGAAAATGGGTATCCTTGCCTAGTTCCTGATCTTAGAGAAAAAGTTTCAGTCTTTCACCATTGAGTGTAATCTTTGCTGTGGGTTTTTTTCTGTATAGCATTATTATTGTGAGGTAGTTTCCTTCTGTTCCTAGCTTTTTGTGTTTTAATCACCAAAGGATGTCGAATTTTGTCATATACTTTTCAACATCACTTGAGATGATTGTGGGGTTTTTTTCCCTTTATTCTATTAATGTGGTCTATTACATTGATCAGTTTTGATATGTTGAACCATGCTTGCATTCCAGGAATAAATCCTACTTGGTCATAGATTATAATCCTTTTAATATACTGCTGAATTCAGTTTGTCAATATCATGTTGAGGATTTTTGCATCAGAGATATTGGTGTGTAGTTTTCTTTTTAGTGTCTTTGTCTGGCTTTGGTATCAAAATAATGCTGTCTTCACAGAATGACTTAGGACATGTAGTTTCTCCTCTTTCAGTGTTTGGAAAAGTTTGAAAGGGATTGGTATTCTTTTTTTACATGTTTGGTAGAATTCACCAGTGAAGCCATCAGGTCCAGGGCTAGGGCTTTGTGTTTGGGGGGTGGGGGTGGGCAATGGAGCAGTGCAGCGGTGGGAGGAAATCTTTGATTACTGATTCAATCTCTTAATAGATAGGTCTGCTCAGATTTTCTGTTTCTTCATGATTTAGTCTTGGTAAGTTTTATGTTTTTCGGAAATTGTCCATTGTATCTGGTTTATCCAGTTTGTCGGTGTATAATTAATTGTTCCCAGTTCTCATAATCCTTTTTATGTCTATAGAGTTGATAGTGTCTTATTTTCATTTCTGATTTTAGTAATTAGAGTCTTTTCCCTTAGTCCATCTATGGTAAAGGTTTATCAATTTTGCTGAGATTATTTTCAGAGAACCACATTTTAGTTTCATTAATTTTCTGTATTGTTTTTATATTCTCTATTTCATTTATCACTGTTTGAATCTTTATTATTTCATTCCTTCTGATAGTTTTGGGTTTAGTTTATTCTCTTTCCAGACTTAGGCTATAAAGTTAGGTCGCTAATTTGAGATCTTTCTTCTTTTCTTCATATGGTTTTAATATGTTTTCCTCCTGAGTGATGTTGAATTTCTTTTTATATATTTAAGTCCCATTCATATTTCTTTTCTGTGAAATGTCATTTCTCATCCATACTTCGGTTTTTTCTGTTAGGTATTGATTTTTTGCTTATTAATTTTATAAGCCCTGTACATATAAAAGAATTAGCTTTTTGTCTATAGTTTGACTTGAAAATACATTTTCTGAATTTATCATAATATTTTCTTTCTATTTGTATCATTCTATTTCTTTTTCCTATATCTGTTATTTTCTACTATGAAGTTTCTCTAATTCTAATGAGTATTTATTTTATAAATAAGTTCTGTCTTCACTAACGAACCCATCTGAGAGAATAGTTAACTAAACATCCACTGTCTTAAGTTGTGAGGTCACCAAAGTGAAGAATGGTTCCTACCTTCATCGACCTCAAACTACAGAGGGAGAGGCCATATAGGTAAACATGTTTACCCATTTCTTCAAAATTTATGTTCACTCTGGGTGAGGCAATGTGTAGGTGCAGGGAATAGAAATGTGAATGAGGTTGGTTTTGCCACTGAGAGTACAGTCTAATGGGAACACATGGTATATAAGGCCTTATAACAAAATTTATACAACTGAAAAGGTGGCTTTCTCATACTCTTTTTAAGAATTTTTCTTAAAACTTGTTT